ATATATTAAGGAAGAGCTCTCTGTAAATTTTAGGGTTTAAAAGCTTTAAATTCTTACATTCTTATAAAAGTCTAAGTTGGTTGTCATCAATTACTAAAAATGGAGAGATTGAAAGTGCATTTGCCCCCTATGTAGGTTTTTATGTATTGATGACATCCAAATTAGGTACTAATGAGATCTTAATAAGATATATTGCAGCTTTAGTTCCTTAAAAGCTTTAAAAGAGTTGATCTAAAATGAAATGGCATCCCTCAATTTTTTGTGCAAAAAGCGAACTAACCCAAAGCTTTTGTGTTTTGTTTTGGGTTTAGGTATGCCGTACTATAAAGAGGGATGCAAGTTTAGGTGGTCTGAGGAAGATAGAGTGCTCAAGCATAAAAATAAAATTAAAAGAGAGACACAAAATCACCTCACGAACACTTGGACATAGTTTGTGGACTTTTGGTAGTCGAACGCCGGAAGTTCCGGCCGTCGGAAGTTCCGATGTTTGGTGCCGAAAGTCCCAACGCTTGCTGACTTAGCCGTAGCCCGTCTGTGCACATTCGCCCGTCAAAAGTTCCAACGGAAGTTAGAAGTTTCGAGTGGCGAAAGTCCTGGCTCCCGTCGGAAGTCCCGACGCTTTGGGACTTAGTCACCTAGCTCGCCATGTCTGTCGGGAGTCCCGACGGGAGTTCCGACGATATGCGAGCAAGCCCAATGGACTGTCTTCGTGAACAGTATTTTGCATAGTGCCGAAAGTTCCGACGATCTGTGTCTGAACTTCCGACTTAGATTTGAATGGTTAGATTTACCTATGAGTATAAATAACTATCTCATCTCTTCTAACTAAAAACCACTCTTTCATTGCTCACAAAACCATCGTCTAAAATAGCTCCCTAGAATTCAAGGAACCCCTCTCCTCTTCCATGTGCTTCAATTTTTGATCCCCCTAGGGTTTTGAGTGAAAGGAGAGTGGATTGAGTGAGAGAATCACTTTGATAAGCTTGATCACTTGATTTCTTCGTTAAGCCAGTTGAATTTGCATCTATTACTCTTAGGTTCTTGAAACCCTAGCCGGCTAGGCGTCGCCCAAGAGCTTCCATTTTATGGAAGAGCCTGAGGAGGTTTGTATTACCCTCGATTTCTTTGTGGAAAGCTCAAGTAACCTTTATGGTTGCTTTGAGAGAGGCAAGGAGGCGGAAGAGACTCCAACCTTTATGGTCACCTCAACAACGAGGACGTAGGAGCTCCTTTGGGGGGTTGCCGAACCTCAGGATAAATTCTTGTGTCTCGCGTGCTTGTTGTCGTTGTGATTTGTGCTATCATATTTGTTCTTGTTGGTTTATCTTCCTCCCCAGCTCCCCTCTTAGTGTTTGGACTCGATCTACGGAGTGGTGACCTTCCGATGTCAAAGGAGCAACCCCAACACTTCATTTTACCACTGGATAGTGGGGTTGTAAGATATCTTTCACTCAAAGTTCATTTTAACACTTATAGTGAAATTCTCGTAGGTGCCGGAACTCCCGGCTGTTTACGTCGGAACTTGCCGAAAGTTCCGACCTAAATTGTCGGGACTTTCGACTGTCACTGACATTTGACTTTGAGATTACGTAGAAAATTTTAGATACATTTGACTTTGAGATAGAGATATCCGAAGATATGCAGACATATAAGAAGTATTTAATTAGAAAAAAACACGGCTTAGTTGTTTGGTGTTTCTTGTGTGAAATCAGGATATGTCAACTAGATGGGCCGACGTCATGAGCCACGGCAGGACGACGAGTCGACGACGGAGTCTCGGCGTGCTGACATCGGGTTGTCGGCGCGGGATGACGTCGGTGATGGCCGTAACAATCTGTCGGGTGCTGTCGTAGATTGATGAGTCGACGGCGCAAGCCGCAGCGTGAGGGCCACCGCGCGACGACGACATGATCCTGGTTATGGGCGAAGGGCGCAGTTAAGTTCCTGCCAATAATAATAATCGTGTAGATATACAGGAAGTATGCATATAAAAATATTTAATTAGAACTTGACTTGACTTAGCTTTCTGAATGATTGTTGTCACGTGTAGATTGGTGAAAGCCTCCAGCCGTTGTTGTTGGAGTCAGATCACGGGAAAATAGATTGGCAGCGAGGGAAAATTTCCCATGTGCATGATTTGATGACGTAGTATATGCATATATACATGCAATCCAAAGTATGATTATTTTAATCGATATGAGTAAGCAGATCGTAGGCTTATCTGCTTGCTTGTTCGTCGGTGTGGCAGGAGACCATCGACTGCGGCACTCCATCTCGGGACTTGATCGTTGATGTCCAGCGCCGCCAGCGATGTCCGACCAGAGGTCGTTCGGACGGACCCCATCATGTGGCTGCGGTTCCGTTGTTGACGCCCAGTGCAGGCACCGCTCAACGCCATGTTGTCGATCCTCCGGACGTCGGAATCCCGCGATGTTCGCCGCCGGATGCCAGAATCGCCGGGGGACGACGATTGATCAAGAAAACCCCATCCGAAACGTAATATTATTCTCAATACGAAAGGCTCCTATTTAACACGTCAACTGTTGGATTATTTTGCTTCGGCAATATCTAAACAGAATCAGATGATAGTACACGAGATACAGAGATTTATATTGTTTCAGGGTGTGGTATTCAGGGTGTGGTACACGCTAATCCCTACTCCAGTGGTACAGCTGTTCTTGTATTTTTATGCTCAATTACAGAGGCTGTTGCTCATAGCTACGAGGTAGATGGAATTAGTGGAAGATTGAATTCCGAGTTCAAGATCCCTATCCTCCTTTATATAGGCAGGAGAGGTAGGGTTATAGAGGACGATCGGGCTAACATATTGTTTCCTAGTTTGTTAAAACAGATTGATCCTTACTATCGTCCAGATACGTCTGCTTTGGTTTGCCTTGATCTCCACGTTGGTCGACCGCGTCAGTCCTTACGGGCCTCCCCTTAATGGCTGCTGGGCCGATAGCTCGGTGGTGGTTATATATACGGGTGGTGCAGGTACCCCTGACCCATATCTCTGACAAAAGCGCAATACGAGAAAAGCAATATTAGAAAAAAATATTAATGCAACAAAGGAAAATTACTTATTGCAACAGCAAAACAAGGCTACTGCAACAACAGAAACAAAAGCGCAATGCGAGATGCAACATCAGAAAAAGGGCTAATGCAACAAAGAAATATTACTTGTTGCAACAACAAAACAAGGCTACTGCAACAACAGAAACAAAAGCGCAATACGAGATGCAACATCAGAAAAAAGAGATTAATGCAACAAAGAAATATTACTTGTTGCAACAGCAAAACAAGCCTACTGGAACAGAGCCTGCCAGAACCCTAGCCACGCCGCGTCCCTCAGATCCAGATCCAGAGGAGGAGGAGGTGGAGGAGGAGGAGGAGGAGGCGCAGATCCAGAAAAGGAGGAGGAGGAGGAGGGCTCAAATCCAGAGAAGGACCCACCTACCTCGTCGGAAGCCGCCGCCGTCGCCCTCCTCTCTAGTGACATGAAGGTTGCGGAGCAAGGGAGGGAGGGAGGAAGCGCGAATAGGCGGTCGCGGCAACGTGCTGGATACGAGCGTGCGCGTCTGTCCCGGAAAGCAGCAGCGAGAGCAAACAGCGAGCGGCCAGGGCACACGAAGGCGGAGGGAAATGACAAGACGTCGGAGGAATCGATGTGGTCTTCTTTCTTTGGTTTTGTGGTATCTGCGTTGGTCTAATTAGGCCGCAAGCCTATGTGCGCGACGCCCGGTAGACGCTGCACAGTAGCAATATCGTTCTTATAAACATTCATCATATTCGCTTGTTGGTTTCAGCCAGGGCTTATCAGTCAGCCAACAGTGTTTTCCTCTCACAATAAACCAACACCAGCGAACATACCGATTATCTACAGCCCACTCTGCATATGTTATTTGGAAAGTATCGTTAATTGATACTATCTCGCAAAAGGAGAAATAGAGTAGAAATTAATTAAGAAGGAAAAGATAGGGCACATGCTTAGTCGCGACCATGCTTTCACCTTCTCTGCGTGGCGGACACGCGCACACACGCCATGGGAGGGAGTACAGACACCAGACAATAAATAAATAAATAAATGATGTGAAATGCAATCTGCTCTTCACGAGCCGACCGAAGCTCTCGACTTATGAGCCGATAGTATCCAGTCGGCTAACCGATGGCCGACTAGATCTTGCTTAACTTTTCCACTTGCCACGTAGGTTGTCGGCAGCTTAGTAGCCAATAGGTGTGCTGTCGGTCTCTGAATAGCCGACAGGATGTTAGTTTTGTAATTTTATAAAAACAACATCTAAATATGCAATTATTTATTAAAATTATATTATTTAAAAAAAATCGTGTGATGTTGTGGCTCGGATCTCACTGTCACCGGAGGCGGCGCGGCGTGAAGACAAGTCTAACGAAACTGAATTGGCGTGCCTCGCAAAAAAAAAAAGTATTGGTGTGCATTCAGTCTGAAGACCAGAGACTGATGGGGAGAGCCGGAGAGGAAAAGGAATCAACGGTGCGTGGCGGCTGGCGGCTGCTCGACTCGCCGCCTCAGTCGCACTCTTGCTTCTTGGCCTCTTGGTGTCCTGATGTCAAACTAAAATCACCCACATAGTACATGGCTGGCCTGGAGACTGGTGCTTGGCCAGCGTTTGGCGCAGGCGTCGGCGTTGCCGTGGAGCCCCGCCTGGGTGTGGCGACTGGAGAGGCACTCCGGGCCGTTTGGATTGGTCATTCGCCATGCCGAGAAGGCGAGAGAGAACCTGTCATGGACGAAAGCAGCAGCTCTCTCATCACCCTCTTTCTTCTCGTGCATCGGGACGTGCTGCCCAGCCAGCTCTCTTCTTGGCAGTTCCGGGCTTCCGGCCGTGCCTCGCCAGAAAGCCGTACCCACTGCTCGTCGAACGCTGCCGGCGAGCACGCGCCGCACGCGAGCCACCTGAGCGCGTTCTGGACTAGGGGTGGAGGTGCTCTGTTTTCGTCACCGATACCTTGCTCCACGGCCGTCACGTACCACGAGATGACGAGAAGATCCGGGCGTTGGACTGTGGGAACATGATCCTGACGGCGTCGCCGCCGTCGGTTATCCGCATTGGGGATGGGGTCATCTCCTTGTCCTGGGAGGTCGACAGCATGAACGCGTAGACAAATGTAGGAATTTGAGAGACTGATCCGAGACGATGCTGCTTCCCGAGACCACGGCCGCTCGCGGTTGAGGACGACGACATCGCCGTATATACCAGCAACAATCGAGGACACGAGTTGGCGCCTTGGCGGCGCCCAACAAGATAGATCGTGTACATACTTTGAGTTGCACTACAATAGTAAATCTAAGGACCTGTTTGGCTTCTATGCAGTTAACAATTAACTGCTAAAATTAACAGGGACCCTCTACCATCTAGTTAACAAATTGTTAGCCAGTTAGCTATTTTTTCATAGCTAACACAGGTAGTACTAGTTTTTTTTTTTTTTTAAAAAATCTGAACACGGCTAGTAATAGTTAGTTTGGTGGATCCAAACGAGGCCTAAGTCAGCTGAAGGCAACAGTTTTTTTTTTAAGTCGCTCCGTAACATCCATGTCTTTCTTCGGCAAATGTACTCGCCAGAGATGAGCCTCCGTCTTGCAAGCCATCGTTGCTCCTTGAAGCGTAGTACTCTTGTTGTGAAGAAGTGGGAAAAAACTTGTATAGACCCGCACAAAAAGGAAATGGTTAAAAAATGGGAATACGCGTACAATACTTCATGTTTCGTATTCAAGCACGCGTTTCCAGCCAACCAGAACACAAAACGATTGTGCGGGGGCCGAGTACCATAGTCCCATAGAACTTGGCAGCCAAACCGCTCACATTTGGTTGCCTATTTTATTTATTAAAGGAACTTCGAAGATAATAGCGGACTTCACTGCCGATTGTACAGCGCAAACAGCTCCTTCAGCTTTGCTGCTTCAGGGCTGAGGCTGTCGAAGCCAACTGAGCTTGGTATCCTCCATCTCCAATTTCCTTTCTGTTGGGAAAGTAGAAAAATAATAAGATTTCACGACACTATTGTTTCAGAAGACGTGATTTATACAAGTAGAATTTCAGAAACGGTCAGCGGACAAACCTGGGTAGCTGGAGTATTCATTCGACCAGAACTGTCAAGGCCAAGAATGTCCTGCATGGTTACCATGGAAGTCCTCGCAACAGAAGAGAGGGCAGCCGTAATCAGAGTCCATGATATGTCAGTATTCTCGGCTTCCGGTAGATACTTGATCACCTGAAATCAATCAAAGAGTGAGATAAGATTACGAAGAACAGTGCTGTCAATATTCTAATAATTCAAGATAAATTGGAGATACTGACAATTTTCTTCTCTTCCTCTGGTAAATTTTGCCACCAGCCAAGAACCTGTTAAAAAAATCATTAACTGTGTAAAGATTCCACATCTACTTGCTTAATTAGTAGTCCTCCAGATCTTTTTAAAAGAAAAGCAGTTCAAGAAAGAAGTTGGAACTAACTGTATCGTTATCATGTGTTCCAGTGTACACAACTTGATCCATTTCATGGTTGTGTACCAAGTGAGGGTTGTCAGAACCACCTCCAAAAGCTATTCCACATATACAAATAGAATTAGAGAAACAAACATTTTAGCAATAAGGAAAGAAGTATACTCTCAGTGCTGCCCTAGCAATATTACCAAACTGGAGAACTGCCATCCCAGGGGCCCCAATAGATTTCCTTAGCTGAACGACATCTTCAGTAATTACCCCCTACAAGTAGCAATCATGCGACAACATAGACATCAGCAAAAAGGAATCTCATGTTCTATCTGGCAATTCAATTAACTTAGCATCAAGACATTTGCTAGGAACTCCCAGTTCAAATCACACTTCACCATTTCACAGATAATGCCATGTATCTGTATTATAACATTATTCAGTGGAAAATGTGTAAAATTTTGCAGATTTACTTAGCCGCGGATGTTACAAATCATGAGAAAGTCTTTTTATTTTCTATACCCATATTATTTCTTGGATATGCTCTATTTTTCCCCCTTAATACAAAGATACACAGCTCCCCGGCGTGTCCAAGAGAAAAAGCCCACCAAAAGACCTAGCATCTCATACTCGTCTCCACTCTCTAGTAGATTAAATAAAAAGGACTTGGATGGTCGGATGCATACCAGGTCTTCTGCTATTATATCTATTCTACCAACAGCTTTGAAGAGCGCGTCAAAAAAGCTATTCCTTGGTCCAGCCTACTGCCAAAAAAAACAGGAAAAACGTATTAGCATGGAAGATTTTACTGAAAAAGGAAAATGTAATACCATGTTCATCAATTCAATGCTCACCCTCCAGCTTCCAACCAGTGCTACTTTTGCATCTACACTATGCACAAATACTAAGTTAGCAAAAGGAAATCAATGTTCACATAAAACAGATTCATTTACAGTACAAATATATGTGGGGATGCAGTGCCCCCATGTATTCTGCTTACCAGAAGGGACTGCCCAAAAACCCGCAAGCCCCCGGAAATGGTCAATACGGAACTCATCATACAAATCAAGGGCACGTTTAATCCTCTTTATCCACCATGAAAAGCCATCTGCTTCCATAGCTTTCCAATCGTACAATGGGCTGCAGAATTGTAATCGATAAGAGATGCCCTGTGGCTGTGGTACAGGATAACAAATATACAGAATATGGAGTTGGCAAAAATATTGATACCTGTTCCATAGTTGACCCGTTTCGCTAAAAGCATCAGGTGGAACACCACTAACGAAAGTGGGGAAACCATTCTTGTCCTTTACAACCAGAGAGCACAGTAAAGAACCACAACAGAATTATTACAAGTTTTCAAACAATAAAAGTAAGATTGCTTTGAGAAAATAATTGAGGCATACCAGCAAAAATGATTTCCTGTTCGCCCAAACATCTGCACTATGGTAGCCAACATATATAGGCATGTCACCCATGATGCTGATACCCAGCTTTTGTGCATATGTACGAATCTGCTGCCATTGCCTTTGAAATAAGAACTGCTGAGCCATAAATGTCTCTATCTGCATAGCACACGAAGCTACTAAATCTACTGAAACTTTTACTTTAAAGAAGTCATTACTAAGCAGGTACTATAGTTTCAAATGCTTACAAAGTCCTTCTGTTTTTGATATATATCTTCCAAGGCTCCAAGATGGCGATTTTTCAGAGGTTCAGGCCACTCGTACCAAGAGAACGCACCGATGCTTTTGTCAATAGCAGCAAAAAGAGCTGCATCTTCAAGCCAACCTGTAGGTAAAAGAGACACTAAGCCACTATACGGTATATAAATTGGGTCTTTGCTACTTCCCCTTTGAGAGGAAAAGGAATACATTTGTAAAAATATGTCCCATGGCTCGAGGCTGCTAAATAATTGATAACTAATTAGTACTTCTTTGATATCGACCAACATATCAGTACAGCAGTTTTCTCCGAGATGCATTTTAGTACTTATGAAAGCATTGATTTTTCTTATATACCCTTATTTTTGTGAAACTAATTTAATGGCTTATGTTGTCATTCAAAATTACCTTATGTTGACACTATGTATATATGCTATTCACAATAAGAGAACAATACGAAAGGCTAATAAACATGGTTTGAAAGTTTATGCATAAAAAAATCTTGCCTGATATATTTGGATTTTTCTTGAAGCAGTCATATTGCGTTCTGAGCTCTCCTTGGCTTAGTAGGAGCCTCTCTGCTGCCTAGAAGATAAAGATTTATCTATGATTTTTAATGAAGCCAATCATCAAGCAGAGGATTCGTTTCATTAAGTAATTTGTACTTCTCATAACCTTACTACAACATAAGCTGCTGCACCTATGCTCAGTTTTGTACCAATTTTAGCCAAAACAAACGAATACCTCAACTTTATTGACACAAAGTGTTGGGTTACATGAATGGAGAACAGTTGTGAATCATAAGTAACTAGAAGCATGCATATCTTCCACATACCATAGAGCTTATGAAATACTAAGCTCATACAAAACAACTTAAACAAAGGATTAAAAAAGGAAAGATTAATGACTAACCTTAGCAATAAGTGGTTCTTTCAGATTTGCAACAGTGTCAAATTCAACAAACTCTGTGTCCCTGTCATTAATAAAAAAAATAAGTTTAAAAGTTAAACTCCATCATCCACACCCGAGTACCCAACCCGAGGAAAGGAACATACTTATAAATAAACATCTTTTTTTTTGCGAGTACTTATAAATGAACATCGAAGTGATCAAGAAGGAATTTAAACTCACACAGGATCAGGAAGTTCATCTGACATCAATAGACCATCTTTTACAAGCTCCTCAAGAGATATCAAAAGGGTATTGCCACAGTTGGCATCCTGCAAATGCAAACCAATCCAAGTTCCATAAATAGCCAATCCTAACTGCGCACAAAATTAACTCCAAAACGAAGGAAGTCAATTCGATTTGCATGCAGCATTACCTGTCCAGAATAAGGAGATCCATCCTCCCCAGCCGTCCTACCTGGAGGAACAAGTGGTAGAACCTTCAAATATAGACCGAACAAATAATTAACTTCCAGAAACTCGACCCAGTTGATCATGCATAATAACTAGGACTGTCAGTGCGGGTGAAGCAATAAATATCAATGGTCCAACTCAACTATATCCTAAAGCATCACTACTGTTATTCTTCTGCATGGACCTAAACTGTGCACCATCAACACTCTTGGTAGTAAAGGATCTCGAAATAAACCTCTTATCATTACAATGTGCCCCTTGCATTGAAGTAAGGGAAAACAACAGAACATAAAGTTTTGCCTCAACGGCAAACATGCCAAGACAACCCCAGGTCCCTTAGAGAGACAATCTGCAAAGAAACATAAACAAAATGCACATGAAGGCCTCCAAAACTAGTTTTGAAATGCACGTTGTCATTGTTCAAAGTCCTCTTGTATGTAGTGCAACCGATAGCGGCATGGAGCAATCATTTTTTAACTCTTTCTAATCTTTGGTATGGGTATGAATGAACATGAAAGGCTTCCTTCCTACCATATCGACCTTTGCCGACAGCGGACTTACCTTTCAACCAACATGCACTACCATTCCAGAACAAAATTACAAATTTCACAGTGACTGGGCAAAAAATGGACAACAACACTGATGTATAACATGGGCCCAACACATCCCACTTGCCGGGGCCCATATTCGTCTAGTTCCCAAGCCCACAGTGAAGGGATGATCAGACGGCCCGCAACTGCAATGCAGAAGGGGGTCACATGATCCTAAGCCCCGCAAAATAGTGGTTAAGCTCGCTTAATAACGCTCTAATCGCAGCATAACTAGCTAGCAAAATCAGTGAACCGTGGAAGCAATGTGCGAGGCACAAGTCACCTCACCTGCCAGAGCGTGCAGCCAGCGTCGCGGAGCCAATGCAGGAAGGCAAGCGCCTCGTCCCCGAGGTCGCCGATGCCGTGCGGGCCCCGCAACGACGTCGGATGCAGGAGCACCCCCGCGCGCCGCCGCCGCGACGGCTCCACGGTGGGCATCATCTGATCGTACCCCTCCGGCAGCTCCTCCCCGACGCCCACGGCTGCGACCTCAGCGGGATCCGGAGCGACCGGGGGCGGGTCCAGAGCAACGGCCGCCATGGCGTTCGCTGCGCAGCAGGCCGCGGCCCGCACGGTGAGCACACGCACCGGCGGAGGCGCCGCCTGAGGCGGGAGGAGGAAGCGGCGGTGGGGCGCGGACGACGGGGCGGGCAGCGGGAGCGTGAGGACTCGCGCGAGAACCATTTGCGACCAACGGACGGGACAGGCGCGCGGGGCGGAGCGGAGCGGGGATGGGAAGGGGCCGAGACGCAGAGGGAGATATGGGCGGTGGGGAATGACACGTGAGCCCCGCATGTCGGGGGGCGAGGCGCGCGGAGTGCGGAACTGCGGACGGGTCCCGTGAGCCGAGGTGTCGTCGGATCACGAGAAGCGGTGGCCCCGCTAGCACGTGGACGGTGCCGTGCGCTTGTAGGGTCCCGGCTGGCCTGACCGACCACCCATGACACGTGGATCCCAGCTAGTACGGTTCTGGCCTCTGGGATACATACTGCGAGAAATACGCTTCTTCCTCAATGTTTTTCATTTCATTCATGGACTTTACGTACACCGCCCTCCAATATTAGGTGTGCGAACAAATTTCACTTTGCACACTGTTATACGTGTTGTCGTACGTATACGTATGATGTGTACCCAGAAACAGCTTGAACAAGTAACCCTTTTTGCTGAAGCTAATTTACTGAATTGTTACAACTGATAGCATGTTACAACCGGGCAGGAAACAGAAAATTTGTTCACTCTTGACGCTACACCGGGGGAGGAACAAAAATACGACTAGAGCTCTGATCAATATAAAGCATCTAGTTCTTTTATTTTGGCTAATTACAGAAGGTAGATGTTGATCTGTCACCCCTTTTTCTGTTTCATATCTCATATTTACACAATCGTGGAATCTCCCTACGACCTACAAAAATTGCGATTCCATGGATCCTTTCGGTGGTACTGGCTTCCCACCGTGTACAGAAACCTCCTTCTGCAGTAATGTTATTGAATCCTTTCTACTATTACCTGACATTTACATACAACAAGGAAAAAGAAGAACCGTTTCTGACCTATGTGCACAAAGGTAATGCGGTCTTCCTGGAAAAGCAATGGAAAGATCTCCGAGCCGCCAGCGCCTCAGCCCTCAGGTCAAGCAAAATAGATAGACAAATCAGTGGCATGATCTTCCTTCGGATCACGATACCGAAGGGGACCATGAGTAGAGTAGTGCATCGCTTAGGAATCGGCTATCCTAGTAACTGATGTTACCACTGCATTGCAGAAGAAGCACCTCTGGTTGTTCAGGAGATGCCTGCTTATGCAGCCAAAGCAGGACCGGTGATGGCATGGCTGGAATGTTGCATCAGAATCACAGTTATAGCAAATGCAACAGGTGTCATCTTCTTCTTCATCACCCATGTTAATGCTATGGTCTTCTTCACCATTCACAGACACTGTAATGCGTCGGAAGTAATGGGAGAACTCTTCAAGCTGTGCTAGCTTTGCAAGGGAGGAATCCCCTCGAAGAACATTGCTCTACAGAAATACATGAATAATGGAACACTGTGTCAACAAAATAGCAAACAAAATAACATAAAAACTAAAAATCAAACAGATCAAGGAAATAAGATACAAAATAGAGAATGAGAAAGAAAACAAACCCAGTTGTAGCTCAGTAGGTACTGCAGCCCAAAATGGATTGTGGCAGGGCAATCCATGCTGGCAAACACTGCAATCACATCATTGAGCTCCCTTTGTTCTGATGTGCTGCTACATTCCATAAGACTGAGGATAATGCCGACAAGAGGAGCCAAGATCATAGTACGATTTGTTTTTCTCTTAAGGGGAGCCAAAGATCATGGTACAGATCTGTTTTCTCTTGATGCTGCCCTGGCCGTCTTAGTGTCCTGCATCCACAAGCTTCCTACTGGTTAAAAAATAGGCCCACCTATTTTCTTGTTGCATAAGGGCCTGTTTAGTTCGAAAATTTTTTATATGTCCATCACATCGAAAATGCATAAAAATAGACCTACACAAGATGGAAGCAATTAGTCCATAATTAGACACTAATTGCCAAATACAAACGAAAGTGAATCTAAACTTTCCTATATGTACCATAAAACATAAAAATAGACCTACCAAGATGGAAGCACAATTAATTGACTCAGAATCAGCTTCAATTAATAAGCTAAAAGGAATCGCGGTAGCAATTTATTTAGGTAATGAACACAATGTAGCTTTCAAAGATTGTACACCAACCAGACTTTCACTAAGAACATTCTACCTCTGAAAGAAGTTCAGAAACTCAGATTAAGATGTTTACTTACATGTCAAAGAACTCTGCATCAGCTGCTGATATGATGTGGTTGAGAATAAAGACAACCAATTCTGTCAACCTCCGCAAATTCATATCTGGTCCCATGAGAAATGCACAAGGAATCTCTCGGGTACAGAATTCCAAGATTCTCGAAAGACAACATGATATATCAAAAATTACACTGCACTTTCTCTGCTGCAAATCAGCAACCTGAAAATAAAAGATGCTTGATCATATTTTTCATAGTTGCAGGGTCTCACCAGAGGAACAAAGGAACACATTGGTACTCTCATGATAAATCATATTGAATAAATGGAGCAACCAAATCCCACAACGATTATATTAACTAATATTTTATTACTATAAAGCTGCATTATAGAGAAGGGTTAAAGGATACGACTCCTGCAGGCTATGACCAACCAGCACACAGGTATTAAAAAAAGATAGTCCACCTGGTTTTTATCTTGCATCTCCCGGATGGACATAGAGAACTCGGTCATTGTCCAGCTGAGTGTATTGAAAAGTCGATTGAGGAAGGAAAAGAACAGTTCTTGTTCATGAATACATGTCTCCCTCAGTAGAACCTTCGGAGGAAACCAGATGATCAAATTATTAGTTCGCATAACAATCAAATTGAACAAAAATAGGAGCGAACTAAATCAAAAGTAACAATATTTAAAAATACCTGAAAAGTTGCAGATGAGGATTCACCATTCTTAGAGGAAGCAAATCCTGAGCCTTTGCAGAACCGGGAAAGTATGTTTGTAACAGGAATCCATGATCTGTTGTTAAAAGCTGATAAAAGTGATCTAGGCATCTTATTTATAGCCTCCCGATTGTTCTCGAAAACAAGCATGAATTCTTTGTATTGTACAAGGACTGATATGGATTGAAGAAGAAGATCTTTCAAGTCAGGATTCACTATCCTCGTATCATCGAAGTGCTTGACAACCAGAGTGACCTATTATTAATAAAACAGAACCCTTAGATAACTTTGAAGCACTGAAGAGTATGCTGAAACCTATCAAGAAATTAATCATGATTTGGTTCAACCAAACTATATAATTTAAAGTTTAAAATAGGCTGTTTATCTCTATAAGCTAAAAGACCTGGGCTGCTACTATTGACTGCAAACCTTCAATAATTAATACTATTAATGTCAACAATAAAGGTGCAATTAGGTTTCAAAGAAAAAATAATGAACTAAGAAGCATCAAGATGATTCAGTACATACAAACGAGGCCAGCCCTTGCATGAGAAATAATGCAGGGGAAACAAAAGGAGGATCGCTCCTTCGCAGTGCATGGAAACAATCCACCTGCAAAGGTAATAAGAAAAAAACTCTCTTGGGTAAATAGATTCATTGTGAATGAAGAAAAAACAACGCCAAAGGAAACAATAAACCTACCAGTGATTCCACATAGAACTCAGGAACATAGTGGAAAATGTTATTTGAGTTACTAAGGACCAAAAGAAGCTCCACGACCCACATGCAAGTTGCGTACATTCCCCTTTGCTTCCACCGGGAGAAAAGGGCGGCCCGGTACCTGAATGCACCATAAGAAAAAAAAAAGCAGATTAACTCGGTGGCCTAAAAAACTATCATAGCGCTACTTGGATATCCATACCATAGAAATCAAAAGAACATAAATCAATGAACATCTCCATAAGTCATTTAGCTGCAAGGGATCTCTAAACTTGAAGGGAATGCTTTCCATCTGTCTTTAGTACCACTAACCAGTTGAATCTATTGTGAATAAGTTAATATGAACATCCCAGATCAAAACTAAATCCGAAAATCATGTCTGCAGCACAGTTCTAAACATTGCTAGCATATGCGAAAAAAATTATCATTTGCCCATGGTAGTAAGAAAGTACAAAGATTTATCATTTCAGAAAATCATACCAAACACAATGGCGTACACAATCCACCAAATCCTCATGATAGCTATTCCGGGCTTCTTTCAAACGCCTTACTTGCTCTGAGCATGATTTTTCTCGTATCTGCCTGTCAGTTTCTTCTAGTAAAGAAATGGACTGCGACTGCTGAGACATGAAATAAAAAGCCTGTACAGAACTAACTTAAATCAGTACTATCATTTGAATTAAAATCAACATATACTAATATCCTAGTAAACTGAGTATCAATGGATAATGAATGTATCGTTGACTGACTAGGGTCGTGTGGTCCATTTTATGTCAAAGGATGGCAAAGTCAATGAACAAGTAAATACTGCCCATTTGCAAAAACACAAGGCGTATTTATTTTGGGAAACTTCGTCTGTTCTGACCAATACTTAGTCAACCTATAAGAATTTTTGATAGTGCATAAAAATTACACAACCAGATATACTATGAAATTCTTTCAAAATATATTGGTTTTGTTCATAAAATAATATATACTGTGAGAAAACAATGGTAAGAGATTAACTTTGAAGAGTAGGTCAAAATATGCCTTGTATTCTTGGATGGATTTCTTTATAGTTACATGAGGACACAATGTTCAATAGTTCACCACAAAGTGAAGTCATCTAGAAAAAAATCCAGGTGTTGGCCGATGAAAATGGCACATATTTTCAAGAAAATTCCCTCACTGCCACTCAAATCTATAACTATCCCTTCATTGCCATCCAAAATTATAAGTTCTCCTCACTGCCATCCATTTAGAATTTTTTATCCCTTCATTTCCATTGCCGTTGCATGGACGTACCTTATTCCCCGAGCTGCCATCCATATAGATAATTTGTTCCCCTCAATGCCATTGAGGTAACGGAATGGCGTTTTCACAGTCGCCACGGTGTTGCAGGAGCTCACAGCGTCTGCCAAGGTGACACCGCCGCTGATTGGCGTAGGCCGCTGTCGAGGCACGGAGAAGCGCAATAGGGGCAGGCCCCGTGATGGGATGGATGATGCAGGGGGGCTAAGCCCCAACCACGTCTCATGGATGGACGGCGAGCTGCTGCGATCGGTGCAGATGGAGCAGGAGAAAAAGGGCATGGCCGCTGCCTAAGACAGTCGCACCAACCATGTCAGGCCCCCAGAAGCCACGGTGCATGGACACATCACGCTCGTCGAGGCGCACACCATAGCTCTTGAAGATGGCGCGCGCCAGGTAGTGGTCTCGTACATGGCACAATGACGTTCCGTTCCCTCCATGACATTGAAGGGAACAAATTATCTATATGGATGGCAGCTGAGGGAACAAGATCTATTTAAGCAATGGTAATGGCAATGAGGGGATCAAAAATTCTAAATTGATGGCGGTGAAGGGAACCTATAACTTTCGATGGCAAATTGGCAATGAAGGGGTGGTTATAGAAGTCAAAGGCAACGAAGGATTTTCTCCAGGCAAAATGCATGCATGTACAAACTTGTACACCTAAGGTGATTGGATACATGCAGTTTGTAGGTGACTGAACATACACAGAACTAAGACAACTTATTCCATGGCAAGTTGGGAACAGGTCATGAATACTCCACTGAAACAAAGATATGAATCCTTCCTGCAACAAATATGTGTTTGTATGCTTAAAAAATATCACTTGCCTGCCTAAAATTTGGTGAGATGCCCAGATAGTATAACAATAACATAACATCAAGCAGCTCTTCTTCTTTAAGTGCTTCCGACGAAGATTGAGTTGCCATTGGCATGTTTTCAAGACTATGCAGTGCTTGGTATCCATATTCAATTTCTGCTTGAGCACTAGAGCTAGGTTTGTCTTCGATCTCATCACTCAGACCTCTACCATTGCACTCAGCAGCTACATGAGCAGACCTTTCAGGCATAGGCTTACATGGGCCTTTTGAAGTTGATGGCACATACTTAGCAGTTTCTTTGTGTCTTAGGCCAACAGCAACATCTGTCACTGAGCAGCAACAAGGCTTCTGTACTGTAGTGTGTGTAACACGTGTCTCTTCATCATTCATGCAGCCTTCATCCCATTGTACTTCATTTTCCACAGCATCAAATTGGTGATGCATCAAAATACTTGGTGGTCCACCGATTCTAGGAATTACACTGTAATAGGCATCATTCCTAAAAAGCAATTGTGTCGGAAACTTGCGCTTTCCACCTTTGTGAAGAAATCCAACACCATTCCCACAGTTCGCTTTAGAGGATGATGCAGATCCAGCAGAATCCATAGAAAATCCTTCAGACAACAAATGTAGGATTACTGTGTACAATGAAACAAGCACAGTGTTGTTGAAAGTCCCATTGACAACCATCCTATGATCACCACCTCTAGCTTTCAGCACCAAACTTTGTACAAAGGACCTAAATACAGAGCCTGGAGGCTGAGGCGGAGACATTGGTGGAATAAAGCATATTACCAAGCTGCAAAGCTCACGATGCATCTCCTCAATCTGCAAAGAAAAATAGCAGCCTGTGAGTATATGACAAGACAGAAGGGAGGGAGAGAGCTTTAGATATCTAGAACCAATAGTGTGCTAAAGTATTCTATTAAGCAAATGACAAAGTTAAATTGCAGGCCAACTGACTTGACAAAAAATCGTGCCTTGTCGACCCTCGTATGGGTGCCATGCACTAATGCCTTGCAAGGACATGGGCAAAGGGTATTGAAAGGTCAACCCCAAAAGCAGAAAGCATGAGAATCAGGCAACATACAAGTATAGAAAATAAAAGGTAGCAGAACACATAAGTTCACTAATGCAATAATATCCAATTACAGCAGTGCAGTTTACTAAGAGAAATGAAGAACTCTAAACTAGGTCAACTAAACACCATGCTAGTCAAACTATCGAATGGTGTAGGCATGTAGCATTGATGTTCACATGTCAAGTGCAACTAAATAATTGGAGAACATGATTCAAGTGAGGGTGAATATAGATCATCAACCTGAAACATTATTCGATGGTAGGATAGAGGATAAGTTCACAGAACAGTAAAAACTGGAGCTTCTTGTAGCTGTGGCAACATTATGTAAGAAGTGAACAGGAAGAAATGAAAACATGCTTCTTCTCTGTGCAAAACTCTTGCTGCTGTGTTAACATCATGTAAGAAATCAATAGGATGAAACAAATACATACTTATTCTTTGTGCAACACAGAATTCCTAGTTATCAGGAGAAGAAATGACTGCTTACAGCAAAATCTGCCAAGATGAAAGGAATTTACCTTTTTGATTGCATCTGAGAGTGTTGTCATCGTCAGTGTCATGCTAACTTCATCCTCAGAAGACCCAGGCCACCAAACAGATGGTACAAGGTACTGTAAATCCTGCTTATTTGGAATCTTCCTTGTAAGGAACCCTTCAAACGAGAAAGCGAAATCTTCTGCTTTCCACCATAAACACATTACATCTTTATGCCTAAGAAGGTGGCAAACCAGCGCTAAAAATGGATATGACCCAGAATACGGGCATTCTGTCAACACAAGTGGTGCAGCTTTGCACATGCAAGAAAGAGCCACAATGAGCTCCTGAAATAATGAAGTGCAGCCTGGGAACAGGAGGAAAAGGTCAAGAACCTGATCAAGGCATGAGAAATCATGTGGCTCACGAGTCCTGAAAACATCTAAGAGTAGAGTGGTCAACGAGCCCCAGGCAATATACTCAAGGCACCCCTGGCTCACTTCAATAGCACTGAAAAGTTCTGCACATATCCCTTCTGAAATTGGTCGAAAGAGTTCTTGTAGTGGTGCGAATTTTTTGACCCTCCTCAGTTTCTCAAAGTATGCTGATTCAGATTTCTCCAGGTTGTGAACTTCTAGCAATCGGAACAGACATCTAAGAAGATATGTCACAAACGACCAAGAGCGTGGTGGCACCTCCAATGGATCAAACCCATCAACAGGATACCTGAATGGATGTGAGCCAAAGTTCAGATGACAGCGCTCTCCTTCCGAGAGGGAGATTGCAGCATAATATCCCTTCTTAGGTTCCACATTGCGAATTCCATCAAAAGCAACACCAAGAGAAGTCCCATTCCTGTAAAAGGAGATTTCTCCTGCATCCAAGTTGATGCAGCAACCGATCACGTCACCTACTGCCCATGGCTGGCCATATGGCTTTGGGTCATTGTTCCACTTAGTCACCCTCAGGCCATCAAAGGAATATGAATCATCAGCATCACCAACACCTTTCTGATCAGTAAAAGGGCAAGAGAGAGTAGCCCATCCAAGCTGCTGAACTCCAGATGTCTCCAGGGTCACCTCATACATCCATTTTCCTTTCCACACACAGGCATTAGCCCTGGCACTGCTGAACGGGGCGGAGCCCTCAACAAGTAAAGGTCCCCTAACATTCCTGAAGCTACCGCAAATGCTCGAATCATCAAGAACCACCTTGCTCTGCCCAGCACCTTTGTCCACAATCAAGACGCTGCCATGGTATCCACGGATGCATTTTTCCCAGTCAATATCAAATTTTCTGGCTTGATTCCTCAACACTGAGCACAAGAAGCCCGTATCAATTGGTCCAGGAGGCCGGACCACTGACTTGTGAGGGAGATCAAAGATGTGCTCTATCGTCCTCTCAACAGCCTGGTGCCCAATTTCGTCATGATAGGACACCAAGTGCGACTTCTGGTGGCTAATCTTAGCTTCGTCACCAGATAATAACACAGCCAGCCCAGGGGAGAATGCACTCCTCCTATGGCTACTGCTTCCTTCCGCCATCAAGCTCAAGGGTGGCCTTAACGTGGAGCATCTGATTCAGTTGAACCCCATGCACGACGGAGAAAAGGAAGGATTGATCTTGCACGACGGAGAAAAGGAAAAACCTGATCAAACCATGGACGGATGGGTTAGACTAGAGTGACTAAACTGGATGTGCTATATTAAATTATCAAGCTACTGAGCAACAAACAAGACGAAGAGATTTGGGCCTTGTTTGGAACCACTTGTATGACAATTTTAATCTGATCAAGATTTAATAAGAAGCTGTGGTCTAAAGAATCTATTGTCTGAAAAAATCTGGGTGTTTGGCAATCCTGATTATTGCGTATAGATTTTCTGTATTCAGTGTAAAATGACTTGTATGCCCCTTAGGTTAAGAGTAGCTCATTTGTTGACTGAATACAAGCTGAAATCAATAATAATAATTTAGTTTGTTACAATAATAAAATCATCAATCAAATGGACAAAAAATGGAGCATTTCATTCGCTAAATTTTAAAGAAATCGAGATGGATACAACAATTAATCACTCATAGTGTGGCCAATTCAATTTTTCACCCAACAATTAATCTCCTGTTCTCTACAAAAAGTATAACCGACCAATTTGAAGCATGGATCTGGATGAGCCTGACAATAGAAGAGAGGACCAAATTCAATTTTCACGGCACAAGTATGATCATACTCTTATCTTGTGATGAGGATCACCAATCAAAGTAGCCTTCCCCCCATCTGTTTAGGCCACAGGAATTCACCACACGCATGGCAGATTGGGAGCAGCAGCGCAGGAAGCCGTCTGACGGACCAAGCACGGTGGTGATGGATCTAACGGGGCCGCGGCGTGGGGGACGGGCCAACGAACTGGGGAGGCGGGGAGCGGCGCAGCGATGCACGGCAGGGCGGAGAGGAGGGGTGAGCGGGGAGGGGCGACGGGAGGAATAAAGCTCGCTGTGGAGGAAACGCGGGCGTGAGCTCGCGGTACAGAGAACGCGGACTACTACTGATTAATCGAGAAATAATCTACGCGTTTGGGTGGGATTTTCGCTTATTTTCATCTAGAATCTGATTAAACAGAAACAAACAGGATCAGCAAAACAGATTACTTACTGGCAAGAGATCGGTCAAGGAATCTCCACGCCACGCAACGCCACTTCAACATAATAAGAGGATGGAACGAGGACGTCGGCGCCGCCTTTCCATCGCCGACCGTGATGTCCCTGCTAATGCACACCGATTGGGGAGGCGGCAGAACAGGGGAAGGGGGAGAGAGGCGAAACTCAATCGAGAGGTCCCGGATATGAACGGGCTCTCCTGTTGACCTGTTGCCGGCGATAGTCAGCGGCGATGGCGCGAAGGTTGGGAGCAGCTAGGGTTTCACCTTGGAGAAGTCACGAGGAAGACGACGCGATAGAGAAAGAGAACAAAAAAACAAAAATTGAGACTATTTTTGAGATTAGACCTTTCCTTTTACGGAAAATACGGTTCTATTGTGGGCATGCTGTCTGTATACTCTGCTGTGTACGGTTCTATTGTCCTATATTTTGCTGTATTTCCGTTATCTTGTAATGGTTCGAAAAATGCTGCCCGTATGCAATTCAACTCTTCATTTCTTTTTCTCCGAGAGTGAACTTCCCTTCGCATGTCTCTGTACTTGTGGCTTTTACTTGATTTTTCCACACTCACCTAGTGCTGATATAAGTGAATATCACGAGAAAGATTAGCCTTTCGTTGATGTTTTTTTTTCATACTTAATTGTAAGATTAGCCTTTCGTTGGCTTGAAGTGTTAGGGCCAACCGTTTGAGCAGCAAGTCCTTTAAGTTTATTTAGTTACTAGCAAGCAATTCATATGTACAGTCAATTTTGCAAATATTCAATAGGCGGTGTAGGATGTCATCCTTAATCATTTACTATTAGCTTCCTGAATTATTGGAACAAGAATTACAAGGACACCGTTTGTCAAAGTTGCTTATATCAAGAAATAGACAAATAATTGAATAGAGAAAGTAACATTTTTTAGCATGTACATTTGATCTATCTATCATTTGTGTCACTGAAACTGTTGTTGCGAAGAGACAACATAGGTCATCTCGTTGCTAAAAAGATGACTATATTTCTAAATATGAGAAAGACCCAATTAAATAACTCGAGGGAAAACAGGAAAAAAAATCTAACACGTTGTGTTAGAGATATCACGTGATAAACAAAACCATTATGCAAATTCTTACATGGATATTGGTTGGCAATTTGACTTGTTCACAGCATGTATTGCCTTGTTCCAAATAAAGGTTTCTTCTTTGTTATTCACCAATGTGAATGTTTTCTCTTTCTTATGATTTATACGTAACATTATATTAAAACCACGTAAAATATGAGTGTGCCTTATGGTGTACTCTCTCCGTCCACAAAATAATGCAATTCTCGCATTTTGATGAGTTAAATAGTTTGAACTTTGACTGGATTTATATATAAAAAAGTATTAACATTTTTTATACAAAATAAGTACCATAAGATTAGTTATAAAATATATTTTCATAATAAAATTATTTGAGGACACAAATGCTAAACTATTTACTATAAACTTGATCAAACTTGAACTAATTTACCGGCATGATCCTATAATTGCATTCTTTTATGGACGGATGGAGTATTTAGCATGATTTCATTGACTACTTTTTAAAATGAAATACCATTTTGAATAAGTTCCTCTTCATGTAGTATTTGAATTGCTGAATTTCCATGGTTTCAGTAAGATTCTAACTTTTATGTTTGGCCTTTCTTTAAATCTCATTATTTTTTTATTCTACTGTGTTTAAATTTTTTCTAATCGGAAAATTTGAAATATCTCTTGTTAAGCAATACTTTATTGTAAAATCATCCATCACATTGTTCGCATAAAATCAGTCTTTATCATGTTTATTAAATGTTAATTTAATTGGCAGCCCTAACCTTGGCCGACTCTACTGTGTAAAACACTGATTCCCTAATTTTTTTAAATGTTCTGCGCAGCCAGTCAAACAAAACTCGATGACCCTAACAAGTTGTGATATCTCTAAACTCACCAACCGATGCACTGTATGATCACACGTCCAACCTCCTGGCTCTAAGACACATTATACTTTTCTTATTGATCTTTCCAGAGAGAGAAAAACAATGTTACATTTTCGCTGAAAGAATATAAAATAATAAGTAGATTTCACTGACGGTTCTTGTGCTTGTTTTGAGTTCTTATTTAGGTTCTGATACTTGCAAAATTACACATTCGACTACCTAAACTTTTCTTATTTTAATTTGCTAGTATGTGTAGCAAGATGAGAACTCTGAGATATAACTTTAGAAAGATAAGTATGTAATTTGCGAATACTCAGAGGACTCGGGAAAAGTCTAACAGAGCGCTAGTGAGATGTACTTAAAATTTCAAAGGAGTGCTAGTAGTTCTATGGAAAAGCGTCGTGAGAACAGCAAAGAAGAGAACACAGAAACCCCTTTCCTCCTAGAGCCCGTGTTTAGTTGGATAAAAGTTGAAAATTTGGCTATTATAGCACTTTCATTTTTATTTGACAATTAGTGTTCAATCATGGATTAATTAGACTCAAAACGTTCGTCTCGCAATTTCCAACCAAACTGTGCAATTAATTTTTTTTCGTCTACATTTAATGCTCCTTGCACGTATCGCAAGATTCGATGTGATAAATACTGTAGCACTTTTTTGAAAAAGTTTTCGCGAACAGAGAGTCCTAGTGCACGTGCACGGGCAAGGCCGCAAGGGGCAACCGCGCCCACCCATGTCCGAAAGCGCCCGAGCATATAGATCCACCGTTGACGTTGCCCGTGCGACGTATCACAACTGCAACCACTCGTCCGTTCGTCGCCGCAGACGGTCGGTCCCTTGCTACGATCCTACAGCGGCGAAAGCTTTGATGGCAGGCAGCACAAGTTGTGCTCGACCGGAGCTTTCACCCGCTGAACTGCTAGACGAGAAGAGCCACTGCCCAGCGGACTATGGACTCTTGGCTCTTGTCGAGCTCGACGTGTGGCGCCGCCGCGCCGGTGTTTGGAGCCGATCGGCAAGACGGCAAGTAGTGGCTATTATATAGCAAACGAACAAATACGCAGAAAACCTCGGTCTCCGGCTTGGCATATTCTGGACCGGAAAGACGAAAGATGCTTTGTACTCTCATCGTTTTAAATTATAAGACGTTTGATTTTTCTACGTACGTTGTTTTCACCATAAATTTAGACAAAATGTATATTTAAATATATAGCAAAAGTCATAAATCTAGAAAAATCAAAATATCTTATAATTTGAAATAGACATAGTACTATGTAGGCTTCTCCGTAGGCTTGTAGCCGTCGAGAAAGACGTAGCCTACCCACACAAGATTCGTCGATCACTACGCGCACCGTGGAGGAGCGGGCGGATTACTTTATTCGGCACGTGAATCCTTCTCGTCCTGTCCCGGGCAATCTCTATCCTGCTATCTCTCTCGAAACCTCGTTTCTTTTTTTATTTGAAAATTGATCCGATCGATGGAGAGGGTCGTCGGTCTGAGGCGGAAGACTCCAGCCTTCCATCAGCTTGATTAATTTAGCCGGCGAGTACGTGGAGCAGGAAGGAACACGTGTAGTCGTGTCGTGCGTGCAGCCGTGAGCGGCCACGAAAGCGACCGAGACGATGGCGCCCCCCTCTCGCCGTTCTGTCGTTCGTCTCGTCTCGTCCCGGAGGAGCCCGGAAGGACAGGAGACCACCGGGGCGGTCCGAGAGCGACGGCGTGTGGCACGGGGGCAATGCCGTCGTCGGCCGTTGCAGGGCGCGCGCGGCCGGTGGCGGACGGCACCTGTGGACCTCTCCGATCCGCGGACGGGCCGGTGGCGTGCGGCGACCGCGTGCCTGCCGCTCCCGTGCGGTCGCGTCACTCGCTGCCGCGTTTTTTGGTAAGAGAAGATGCGTACGTTCGCGCCAGCGGCCCCGCACCCTTTCGCGGGGGCGTGCCGACTCGCCGACC